CCCTGGCCCTGCTGCAGCATTTCACTAGCCAAACCTGCCCCCCGGCAGCTCCCCTTCCACCTCTTCATCGGTGTCTCTTCTCCCTGAGCGCGTGTCCTTCACCAGCTACGCCGGGGGCGGCAAAGGGCGCATGCTCAGGGCACGTGGTTTTCCAGAGGAAACATCCCAACTCAGTAACACCCATCCTGGGATCAATCTGGCACAGAGGGGCCAGCTGGCAGACCCCAGGCCCCCGCTGCAGACGCTGCTGCAAGTTACCTCCTTCCACTTGGGGACAGGCAGGGAAATGCTGGATATTTTCTCTAGAATCGCCACTGTCCTGGCCGCCTCGTCCTCTTCCTCTTCGGTACCAAGCAGCTCCTCGCCGCGCTCGGGGCCTGCCCTCCCGGCCTGATCCTAGCAAGGAGGAGGAGGAGGAGCTGCCCCTTTCTGCCTGCTGCTGCACCCACATCCCCCTGGGCTTGAAACTCAGGTGGGTCTGAGAGTCAAGAGGTGGAATCTCCCTGTGTCTGAATGCCAGCTGGGAGCGGCACGGGGTGGATGTAGGGTGACACCTGTGCTGCCTGGCTTACCCCAGGGTGTAATGCTGGCCCGGGGAGGGCAGCCAGCTGGGAACGGCACGGGGTGGGTGTAGGGCGACACCCGTGTTCCCTGGCTTACCCCAGGGTGTAACGCTGGCCCGGGAGGACAGCCAGCTGAGAGCGGCACGGGGTGGGTGTAGGGCGACACCCGTGTTCCCTGGCTTACCCCAGGGTGTAACGCTGGCCCGGGAGGGCAGCCGGCTCTGAGCTGACACAAGACTTGTGGGAAGAGCCAGGGGAACGGTGTCATTGCAGGAACTCACTGCTCTGCTCTTGTGACTCTGACCTTCGGACACAAGCGGGGTCCTGGGGCTCCCGCCGTAAGCCCAGCCCATGGCCAGCCCGGTCTGGGGCTGTGCTCTGCTCAGGGAGGCTGCCCTGATTCCAAGCCCCCGGGGTGGGGTGACGGAGCAGCAGGACGGGAGTGTGGAGACCAGCACTGGCCACAGCGACTCTCCAGGAGCGAGGCTGGACTCCCGCCTGACCCCTCTGCCCTGGTCTTTGCAGAGGCTGCTCCAGGCTCCTCCTCAGACAGCCCCGGCCTCCGGCTGCAGCTCAGCTCCCTCCACTGATGGGGAGGCCGGGAGAGTCTCTCACTCGGTGGGGGAGGACGGGGATGGGTTTTATGCTGTGTGTATGGAGCAGGTCTCCTGGCTCAGCCTGCAACCCCCATGCCCACAACATCTGCCTGCCCTGCAGCTGGGAGAGGGCACTACAAGCCTGGCTGCAGTGGGCCCAGGCCTAGGGTTACCATAATCCAGCAATCAAAAAAGAGGATGGG